CTGGGCTGGAGAGATGGCTCAGAGGTTAAGAGCACCGACTGCTCTTCCAGAGGTCCTGAGTTCAATTCCCAACAACCACATGGTGGCTCACAACCATCTATAATGAGATCTGGTGCCCTGTCTGACCTGCAGGCATATATGCTGTATACATAATAAATAAATCTTAAAAAAAAAAGATCACGTACTGCACAGTTCAAGGGGATGTGGGGATGTGCTACCCTCTTCTGACCTTGGGTGTACACACACACACACACACACACACACACACACACACACACACACACACACACGGTGTATAAGTACATGCAGGCATAACATTGATACACATAGAATATAAATGTAAATTAAAGAGGCCATGTATTTGAAAGAGAACAAGGGAGAGATTGTAGGAAGGAAATGGAAGGGGAAGTCATACAATTAGACTCTCAAAACTTAAAAAAATATGCAGGTGGTGGTGGCATCGCAAGCCTTTAATCCCAGCACTCAGGAGGCAGAGACAGGTGGATCTCTGTGAGTTTGAGGCCAGCCTGGTTCACAGAAGGAATTCTAGGACGTTCAGAGCCACACAGTGAGACCACTCCTCAAACCCCACCCAGTCTTCCCAAAAATAAAAGTTTTGAGGCCATGTGGTGGTGGCACACTTGGGAGGCAGAGGCAGGCAGAAATCTAGATTTCAAGGCTAGCCTGGTCTACAGAGAAAGGGAGTTCTAGGACAGTCAAGGCTACACAGAAAAACCCCTTCTCAAAAGACAGAAACAAATAAAAAGTTTTGAGGATGAATCAGGAGTTTGTGCCAGGCCTGTTACTCTGTAAAATCTGCTTTGTTAGCCAACATCAAGGACACAGGGCTAAGAAACTCCCTTTTCTAAAGTGACAGACACAAACTACAACTTTGCTATTTGAAATCAGTCGATGAAAATGGCACATCCTACACTTGCCTGGTAGTCTGAGTAGTGTAGATTACTTTCTTTTTATTGTTCTTTTTTTTTTAAATAATAATTGCTGATAAACGATGAAGGCTTTGAGAAAATAAGGTTTTTTGGTTTTGTTTCTTGTAGACATATTTTTCTTTGGACCACCAATTCACAAATAATAACATGGAGACTTATTATTAATATTCAAGCACAGCTGATAGCTTAGGCTTGTTCCACTAGCTCTTATGACTTAAATGAACCCATTTCTATTCATCTACATTCTGCCATGTGACTTGTGGCTTTCTCCTCTCCTCCTGCGTGTCTTTCTCGCTCTGCATCTGGCCGGTGACTTTGCTCTCTTCTTCCCAGGGCTCTCTCTGACCAGAAGTCCCACCTATACCTCCTGCCTAGCTATTAGCAGTTTAGCTTTTGTTTACTTAATTTAATTTTTACATTCCAACCCCAGTTCCCCCTCCCTCCTCCCCTCCTACTCTCTCCACTCCCCTCTCCTCCCATCTGCTGCATGGAGAGTAAGGTCTCCCCTAGGAAGCTTACTAAGTCTGTCCCATCATCTAGCTGAGGCAGGACCAAGGCACCTCCCCACCCCCACATCCCTGTGTCTATGCTGGACAAGGTATCTCTCCATATAGAATGGGCTCCATGGCAGTTTCGCTTTTTATTAAACCCATCACAATGACACACCTTCACACAGTATAAAGGAATCTCCCCCCTTTTTGTCTAAATAAAAAAAAGTTTTAACTGTAACACAGTAAAACTGCAGTACAATAGGAACAATTATCAGGTAAGAATTAACATTTACAATGTCCAGGCCATTTGTATTTGACAAATTTAGAGAAAATATTCCATTATCTACTCTCTTGATGAGTCCAAAGTTTTATACTTAAAACTATCTTTTTTTTAGACCTTAAAACATTTTCTTAGGTAAACAATTTAAGTGTTCATGTTTCTCAACCTTGTAAACTTTACATCTCTTATGTAAGTTTCTTTTCTGAATTTAGTAACAAGGAAAACTGTAAAACTATAACTATCTAGTCTTCAATCTCCATCAGAGGCCCAAGAAGGATAAAATATTACTTGAATAAACAGGAAGTTCAGAGCAAACAACTTCCAAAACTATAGAAATGACAGAAACAGCTAGGTGGTGGGGCATTCACCCAAGTGTCTTCTGCAATATTGGGGCATCCATCTTTGGCCTATAGGCCTCCAATATCTGACAAACTTCTGTGAAGCAGGACTTTTGAAGGACTATCCTAGCTTGTCTTGGCAAAGTCTGGCAGATATGTTCCTTTGTGTCCTGCTTGTCCAATTTGGACAGCATACCGTCAGGAGTTGAGGCAAGGGCTGTTTCTTGCTCAGTGGCTAACTTTTGCAAAAAAGAAAGCAAACTCCATATGGAGGTTCTTCAATGCCCATCATTCTTTTTTTGAGGTCGATTGGTGATGCCAGAAGCAGACATGCCTCACTGTCATAAAAAGCCTTATGTTATTAAAACATTTTAAATATCACATTCTGTAGGTCTTTGAAATGTTTGAAGATCACCTATCTAAAATATATCTTTGTATGACCTTCAAAATATACCGAACATGACTATAAGTTTGATTGTTATAGATGATTAACTATTAATCTGTATTTCTTTACTATCCAATAAGCTTTCAAGTACTAAAATTATATTACATTTTTAAATGAGCTGTAAAGGTACAATATCTTTTTTGTTTTGTTTTGGTATTTTGTCTTTCAAGAAGGCTTTCTCTGTGTAGCCCTGACTATCCTGGAACTTACTCTGTAGACCAAACTGGCCTCAAACTCAAGAGATTCACCTGCCTCTACCTCCTGAATTCTGGGATTAAAGGTATGCACCACCACTACCTGGCTATTATTTTTTTTGTTTTGTTTTTGTTTTTTTGAGACAGGGTTTCTCTGTATTGTTTTGGAGGCTGTCCTGGAATCGGCTCTGTAGACCAGGCTGGCCTCAAACTCACAGAGATCCGCTTGCCTCTGCCTCCCGAGTGCTGGGATTAAAGGCGTGCGCCACCACCGCCCAGCCTATTATTTTTATTTTTAAAGACTTTATCTTGTTATTTATAAACTATTTTTTCTATGACTGCCTATACCCATTTTCTTTAATTTTAAGCCTATGAACATGTTTGAAACCCACTGTAACCTGTTCAGAAGCTTTTTTCTGTCTGGATCTGTCTTTACTGAGCATTTGTAGCATTCTCTGATGGCTTGAGACAAGTCTTAAACTGCTATGTCAGATGTCTTCAAAGCTCAGCTTAGCGCATGGCACTGGCAGCAGGCTCAAGCCATGGACAGCAACGGTAACTGCGTCTCTATATACCACTAAGCACCAGCCAACCTGAGAAACTGTAGGACTAGGAAACTACATCTGGCTCTTTGTCCAGAACTGTCCTTAGCTATCTGAGGCCCTATGTTTGGATATCCGAGGCCCTCATTGGGTGCCATATGCAGTCAGATTTTCCTTTGGGCTGCCAGCTCACAGAAATGACATGGAGACTTATTATTAATGAAAGCTCGGTTAGGCTTGTCCCACTAGTTCTTGTAATTTAAGTTAACCCATTTCTATTCACCTACATGTTGCCATACGACTCATGGCTTTTACCTCTTTTCCTGCGTGTCTTGGTCTCAGTGTCCAGCTGGTGACTCAGTCTTTCTTCTTCCCAGAGTCCTCTCTGTCCAGGTGTCCCTGCTATATCTCCTGTCTAGCTATTGGCCATTTAGCTTTTCATGAAACCAACCCATCTTCACTCAGTGTAAAGGAATATTCCTTAGCAGTTTCCATTTTATTTTATATGTGTAGGTGTTTTGTCTCATGTATGCCTGTGTTCTAAGAGGGCACCAGATCCCCTGGAACTGGATTACAGACTGTTGAGGGCATCATGTGGGGGCTCTTAACTGCTGCGCCATCCCTCCAGCCCTGTGGATTACTTTTTGGCATACCAAAGTAGTCTAGATTTCCAAATCCATGCACAAAACTCTGGACAGTGGATCTTTGAACATTACATTCTACTTTTATCTTCACTCTGTCGTTTCTAAGTGGACCTTCAATCCACTCAGATCAGATTTTTTTTTATTAGGATCTTCCTTATGTAGCTCACATTGGCCTTGAACTTGGAGTAATCCTCCTGGGTCCTGGTATTTTAGGTATAGACCATCTTTCCTGGTTTAGTCAGGACTTCTTGTTTCCTTGTTACTCTTCTGCCTGTCTTGAGCCCAACAGAATTGCTTCAGGTTGGGTGTGACGACACGTGCCTGCAATCCTTGTACTTGGAAGCAGAAGCTGAAGTATCAGGGCCATTCCCAGAGCATGTCATGCTCTCTGCCAGCCTGGAGTACATCAGACTCTGCCTCAAAGCCAAGCAAAACAACACAAAACCAAACCCAGGCTGGAAAGATGGTGCACTTGCTGCTTTTCCAAAGGATCACAGTTCGGTTCCTAGGACCAGTGTCACACAGCACAGCTCACAGCTGCTTGTAGCTGCAGCTCAGGGCATCTGATATCCTCTTCTGGCCTCTGCAGGCACCTGAATGTACATAGCACATGCTCACACAGACACACAAAAATAAAAGCTTTAGAGCCAAACAAAACAAAAACCAAACCAAACGAAAAACCCTCCTGTTTTATTTAAATTGGAATTCGAAAGCCTACCCTTTATCGTATCTTCAATGATCCTTTCTTTTGTTTAGTTGCCCTGGAATCATAGGTATGTGCCATTCTGACCATGGCCAGCCTGTTTCTTTCAGACGGGGTCTCAAATTGGAATTCAAGGTCATTCTGAGTAGTTAGTAAAATCTTTTTCAAAATAAAAAGGGCTCAGTGGTTGAGTGTTGCCTAGCAGGTGTGAGGCGGCACGTTCATCTTCAGTATTGGGAAGAATGCTTGAATAATTGAGTGGGGTTTCTGCGCTGGAGAACTGAGTTTAAGAGGGACAATATTACATTCCCATCTTACAGCAACGTTTTGGCGTATCCTCAGACTTTCCACAAATTCCCCCCAGCCTAGAGCAAAAGTTCTTCTGGACTTAGCCTGTGCGAAGAGCGGTCTGTAACTTTCCCGGACCTGAGCGCGGCCGGAAGTTCCCCAGGCGTTGTCAGGAGAACTACAGTTCCCAGAAGGCAATGCAGAGGAAGGGAGGGAGTAGAAGAGGACTTCCGGGCGCTGATGCGGACCTTGTCAGCGCGACGTTCAGAGGTACGCTTAGGTGGCGGGCTTAGTGGAAAGGGGAAAGAGGGTGGTAGTGACTGGGGATGATTTTCAGATGCAGAGCGGGGAATGGTAGAAAGGATCGCTAGCCTTGCTTTCTCTCCTTGCAGGGACCATGACGAAGTTAACCCAGTGGCTTTGGGGACTGGCGCTCTTGGGCTCTGCCTGGGCTGCCCTGACCATGGGAGCTCTGGGCCTGGAACTGCCTCTCCCCTGCCGGGAGGTCCTGTGGCCACTGCCTGCCTACCTGCTGGTGTCCGCTGGCTGCTATGCCCTGGGCACTGTGGGCTATCGTGTGGCCACCTTTCACGACTGCGAAGACGCCGCCCGAGAGCTGCAGAGCCAGATCCTGGAGGCGCGAGCAGATTTAACCCGCAGGGGGCTACACTTCTGACACCTTCGCCCATTCCTGTCCGGACAACCTTCCTCATTCCCTATTAAAGCGAAGTTTTATTTTCTAACCTGGTTTGGTTTTGAGTATGGAGGATGGCTCCTGGGGGCTCTGTATACCAGAAGTCAAGAAATGCGAGGCGGGAGGCCACCTTCCCAGGCTTTACCTTTGCCTGTTGGTGGTATTCTGTCCCCTTCTCAGAGTTTTATCTATTTATTTATCTCATGCATCCCAGACTGGTCTTGAACCCAGACATATGGTCTTGGATGATTCTGACTCTCTATCTCTTATCTCCTCTAATTACAGGCTAAACCACCACGACTAGATTATGTGGTGCTGGGGAATCGAACCTACTGGGCTTCAAACATGTAAGCCCTCAACTGAGCTACTTCCCCAAACATGTTTTATTTGTTTAGATGTTTTACTAAGTAGTCCAACTTGGTCTACAACTGGCAGGGTTGCCCAGGCTGCCCCAAACTTGTCCTCTTGCCTCAACCTTTTAGTTTGTTCAAGAGTTTCCCTGTGCAGCCCTGACTGCCCTGGAACTCCACTGTAGACCAGGCTAGCCTCAAGGCAGAGATCTGCCTCCCCAGTGCAGGTATTAAAGGTATGCGCCACCACCAGGCTCTGCTGGGATTCCAGGCTTCCCACACAAGGCCAGGCAAGAAGGATATACACCGAACACCCTTTTATATATATATATATATAACTTTCAAGTTTTTTTCTTTTTAAAATGTCTTCTGGGTCTGTGTGGCTTCTGGTTCTCTCAGACACCTTTTCTGAGGCAATCCTCAATCCTAGGTGCCCACCAGGAAGGTTGAAAGCCATGAAGAAAGCACAAACCCTACAGGCAGGGGTGGGGAACACTTTATTTTAAGGCACATTCTAAAGATACCACCTCAACCTTCAAAATGAGAAAAGATAATCTCTTTAAGAAAAATGTGATTTCATCCCATAGGTCCCATCTGATCTATGTAAAGGTCCTTCTTTGATCCCTGTATTTTAAAAATCAGCCTTTTTCTCACAACCTATTGCACCCATGGAATTGGTCAGGGGGACCGGCAGAGGCAGGAGCTCTTTGGTGTCACGTTGGCCCTAAGGCGGCTGTGGTCAGGTTTGCAGAAGGCGGTATTTCCTGTCATGTTCTGGGGGATACTTGCAGAAAAGCCCAAGGCGGACCAGGCTGGTCAGGATCCCTGGAAGGTTGGGTACCTGGGAGCACAAAGCTGTGGTAAGACAGGAACTAGTCCCTGCTTTGCAGACTCCGTCCCATCCAGGGTCTTACCGTGATGTACGGGTCTCCGAGTCGAACCCCGTAGATGGACCAGGAGGAGGAGGAAAGGAAGGTGGCCACGGTGAGTGAGAAGGAGAGACGCTGGGTTGACTTAGTCTTAATGATCTTGGCCTGAGGCAAAAGCACTCCTGGTTCAGGCTCACAGTGGCATTCCTGAACCCTAGCCTAAGAACTCCTCGTGGAAAAAAGACCCAAATCCCTCTAACCTTTGACCCAGCTCTCTCCTGCACCTCACTCGCCCCCTCTACTGCCTGGCCTTCTTCCAGGAGCTGGGTCTTTCCCTCTGGGGTATCAGCCAGGCTCTGGCTAAGGCGGCCCAGCCCCTCTGACCTCCCCTGCCCCGTGGCCACCCCACTCACCAGGTCAGCCAGCGGTGAGAGGTACATGCTGATGGTAAAGACACTGCAGAAGAGGCCTAGCTGCTGAAGCCGGGCCTCAAGGTCTGGCACCAGAAGCCAAAAGTAGCCATAACCCAGGAGCAGGACCCCCAGCAGGGCCGCAGTCTGCAGGAGCACAGCGTGCTGCAGAGGAGAAGCGTCTTACTGGCATCTGAGCCAGAGCACTGATTTCTCTCTGGGACCGCTCCATCCTCCTTCGTCCATGCTCTGATGGGGAAATCAGCCTTTATCCCAGCCTTCATTCATGTCTCTATCACCAATCACCCGAAGGAAGTCTCAGCCACACAACACTGGAGGCCTCCAGGGAAGGGAAAATTATCTTTTCATGTGAGCCTCAAACATACAGAAAGAGACTAACGGACTTTTTTGTGATCGAATGGGAAATCGGAGCTAATGGCCATTCTTAGCCACTGGCCCTGGTTCTAACCCTAAAGGAACCATCAGAGACAGTCCAGCCCTTTCTCCCCAGCCTGTTGGAGAGAATAGGTTAGTACTGGGACCACTGGGCTAGGTAAGCCACCAGCCCTGTGAGCAAGGGTTTGACAAAGGGTGGCTGTGTGTGTGTGTGTTTTGTAGGGTTGGCTCCAAGGGAAGGAGAATCAGAAGGGCATTCTAGGAAAAGGAAGTACTGCCATCCTACTGGTCTTCCAGGAAACGGTGTCTGCTCTGCTAACATGGCTGGGCGAGCAGCAGAGGTGGGTGCGAGGGAGGGCCTCTACCTTCTGAGGGCTGTAGTGCAGATATACCAGGATATAGAGCGTCTGGAGCACAGCACCCACGGTATTGACGATGATGAGGGTCCCATCTCCCTTCAAGACTCCATAACTCAGCCAGCCCAGGTTGCTGTGAGGGGAGGGGGTTTACGGTCCAAGGGGCTGAGTGTGGCAGGGGTCCCCAGGGTCCTCCTGAGCCTCCCTCAGCCTTTCCCGCCACAGCCAACAATGCTCTCACTTGACATCCGTGGTGAGAAAAGGCAGGAATTGGATGCTGTCCACGCTCCGTGTCCTCTGCATGTGCCTGAGGTCCGAGCTGGAAGGGGACCCAAAGGGAATTGTTAGGAATGGGCGGCCGATTCCTCAGGGCTTGTCACCCACCCTGAACAACAACAAGCAGATCTCCCCGCTCGGGCCGAGGGGCCAGCCTCACTCTCGCACCCCGGATCACCCAACCGTATTCCACTTTCATTCTGGCTGGAAATTGTAGCCACGTCTCCTGCCTCCTTTGCTTTCCTGGTTTACTGGTCCTCTCCCCAGCCCAGTCCATCCGTGCTCTCACAGGCCAGTGGAGAACATGCCCAGGGTGAAGAGCACGCAGGCACCGGAAAGGAAAGAGTCTGCCACGCCGCCCGCCTCCATCCCACCGGAGTCGGTTCCCTCGCCCAGCGCTGCGCACTCGAGCTGTTTAGGCCCAGCGCGGGCGCCCGCGAAGCCCCGCCCCTCCCCGCGGACCCGCGCCGGAACCCGCCCTCGCCAGAACTGCACCGGAACTCGGGGCCTCGGCCACACCAGCGCTGCGTGCTGGCGGGGTGCTTGGCTGTTGTGTGCGAGCCTGGTTCCCGAGCCTCCTCTTCGGATTGTGCTTAATGCTTTTAGTAGGGACCATGCATTTGTCCCCTCCTCCCACTCCGCTCACCCTTGAGTCATCTAGGCCACTAGCCTCAACGTCTGTGTTCCTATATGTCCTTGTACGCCAGAAGACAAACACCAGATTTAGTCCCACCCAGTCTTCAGCGGGCCATATCAGAACCTTGGGAGGTTCCCCCGGAGGTTACTGAAATCTTGTTAGCCTGTCCCTTAAATAGCAGGAATTGCCAGGCGGTGCCCATCTTCCTTCAGATACAACCTGCCCTCTCCATGGACAACCCTACCCTGGCCCCCTGTTCCAACATACTTGCTGCTGGGAACTTTCCCTCCCAGCCTCCCACGCAGCGCTGCTGGTGGGGCTGTGCACATGCTTCAGCTGGCTTCCAGCTCCCTGACTCACCCAGACAGCATGAGTACCTGTGTGGTATGCCAAAGCCCTGCGCTTGAGGCTGATGAGTGGGATAGAGTTGGACAGGAAGAACTTCACAGAATGGGGTGCGGAGAGGAATCCAGCAAACTACTACAGGGAATTCTCCTGTACACCCCCCAGAGGAGGAAAAATACCCTCCCTCCCTTTGACCTGGTAAGAGCATGTGTTTCTTAGGAAGAGAAAGAAATTAAAACCAAATTGTGTCACATCTTTTTTTCCCTTGATCTATCCATTTACTTATTTTTGTCTTTTATTTATTTTGTTATTTGTGAGACAAGGTTTCACTGTAGCCCAGCCTGGCATTGAAATTTTGGCAATCTTCTTGCTCAGCCTTCTGAGTGCTGGGATTACAGGCATGAGCCATAATGTTCTGTGCTGCTAAGAATTTAACCCAGGGCTTCACACATAGCAAGTTAGCACTCTACCTTTGTTTGTTTGTTTGTTCTTCAAGACAGACTTTCTCCATGTAGCTTTGGAGCCTGTCCTGGAACTCGCTCTGTAGATCAGGCTGGTCTCGAACTTACAGAGATCTGCTTGTCTCTGCCTCCCGAGTGCTTCTGGTGTTAAACTGAGCCTAACACACAGTAGGGACTATGAAGCCATCAATAGACATAGAAGGGCAGAAAAACATATCCAAAAAAACCAAGAAACATGACTTTATTATGAATCCAAGAACACTGTATAAAAACTCCAGTTGTAGAAATGAGCAGACACAGATGTTTATATACAGACACTGTACATATGGGTCCTGCCCGTTAAGCTACATTCTACACAGACGGTACACATGGGCACTGCCCTTTTGCTATACTCTAAAACCAGTATAGTCCTCATATTGGCACAGCTCCAGGGAATGCTGCCTGAAGGACGGGAGGATGCAGTCGGTGCCTGGCTACAAACCTCTCTGGCAGCTCAGCAGGTGGAGACCTCAGAGAGATGCTGGGTCAGCCCAAGCATGCTGCCTCTCCTGTACCTGGCTCCCACACAGGAAGCTGTGTCAGGCTTTTCCTTTAGTCAGTTCATCTGGACATCACGGCTTCCTCGGGGAAGGGCGTCTTTAGTGTCCAACTGCATGACCTCGGGCTCTTCCAGCTCATCTCCCTCTGGGCCCTGGAACGGGCCAGGCCTGCACAGCTTGACTCTTTGGCTTAAAGGTAGAAATCGCAGGGAAAGGACTGTCCCCACTTCTCTCTCCAGCCCCCTGACGTGGAGGCAGGAATGGCATAGTCAGGCTGGTTGAGCTCCTTTGGGTCGAAACCCTTAATACTGAACCTTCTGAGGCTTCAGGGTGGCAGCTTGTGCATGTTGTGGGAGTGGTTCCCAGGGCTGGAGCTTTGGGGTGCTGATCCCTGCCCTTAGCCCAGTTCC